CCCTGCAACATTTTCATCCAGCCTTCACACGGCTAATCTTATTCTCCCAAGGGCTAGTTTCCAGGTCGCTTCCTCCAGGAAGCCTTCCAGGGCCCTCTAGGTCTGAGTTAGGGAATGCTCGTCCGCCTCTCAGAATCCTCTGTATGTCTCCTGTTGTAAATAACCCTCACAAACTTTACGGTCATCGGTTTTTTATTTATCTTATCCTGCAATAGAATGTCAGCTCCTTGAGGGCAGAGCTGAAGCTTTGTGCATCGTTTCCCCCTGCACCTAGCACAGTGCCCGGCGCATGTTCAGAGAGTTAACGGACTTTGTTCTGAGTCACCGTGAACCCAGAACTTTCAGATAAGGGGAGAATCCAAACGCAGTGTTAATAACATCGAAGCTGGTTCCTGCTCTTACTTCGAAAAGTATTTATTTACTTTAAATGTATAAAGAAAAGTTTTGCATGCATATTTTATACCTCATTTTCCTTCCGCTTTCCATTTTATCTTAAGCAAAAGGTCTTTCTGGCTGTGAATTCCTTTTGACTCTCAGGGAATCGGACCTAGTGCAGATAGTTCCTCATCTAAATTGTTGATTTTCAATCAGTTTTTATTTTGTGCCTCCCAGGACCCCAGGTGCTGGGGAAGGCACTCTTTGTGTCCCAGTTATTCTAGGCTGTGGACATTACCTGCTGGAGGTGAGCCTGGGCAGGCCGTGGGTCACCTTAAAGATGGTCACATGACCCTCCCCGCGTGGCTGGCAGAGAGTAAATGCCCTCAGCACGCGTGCACGCTCTCCCGGACACCCTGAGGGCTCACTCAGGGAAAGGGGCATCTATACTTTGGCTAATAAATGGATTTTCCTCTACTTGAAATGTTTTAATTGCCTGAACTGGGTCACCTCCCACATAGGGCGTCACTTTGGCAAGGAACACAGCTGTGAGGCTCCTCCCACAGCCTGTCGGTTCAGTGGGCAAGTTAGGTGGATCCGGCAGGTGGGAGAAGAGACAATACCACTGAAATTCCATTCAGTATTGGAGAAATAGATGGCAGGCGTATTGTAAATACTTTATATGGTTATAACTGAGCTCAGTAGACGGTCGGTGTGTGTGTGTGTGTGTCTATAAAATTTAATCTTTTCCCTACTTCATCTGCTTACATCCAGAACTCACATCATTTATTAAGCATTCTGTCTTAAGAATATCTTCACTGACATGTTGATTGAGGTGATGTCTAAGGAAAATGTGCTTGTATTAACCCTCAGAAACTGTAGACATGGAAGCTCTATTTTCTTTGAGATCATTTCCACTGCTCACCATTCTCTTGCGGTGGATGGTGAGAGGAGGGTATCTGGGTGGCAGACTTTGAAAAAAGTTCACCAAGTAACTACATAAAAACAACTGTGTTTCTTTTGTTCACTCCCCAGGTGGGGACGATCGGGGGATTAGAGCAGTGCGCCCCAGGGAGGCTGAGCCCAGTCTTGGAACCTGGGAAGGCCTCCCTGAGAAAGAGACACACAACTGACAGATGAGTGAGACTTGGGTTAATCGTTGTGGGAGACACGGCCGGGGGGCTGACTGGCGGTATGGACGAGATGAAAGCTCTGATGTTTGGAAGGAACGTATTGCTCTTGACAATCGGAGGGAAGGTCGCTGTGGCTGGAGCTCGTGAACAGAGGAGGAAGAGGAAGAAGATGCAGGAAGAGAGGCGGGCAGGCTCAGTCATGCAGGGCCCCATGAGCCATGTGAAGGAACACTGGACCTTGTCCCCAGAAGCAGTGGGAAGTCATCCCTTCTCTCTGAGCAAGGGAGTGGTATGATCACGTGTGATTTTAAAAGCCCACCCGCGGTCCTGTGAATAGGCAGGGGTGGTGAGGGGGTGCCGGTGCTCTCGAGCGCTGGAGCAGAGATCGCTGCAGCTGGGACCACGGTGTTGGCAGCAGCGAGGGAGCAAAGGGTAAGAAAGTACTCCGGAGTCCTAAACGCCAGGAATTAGCAATGACTGCCTTCAGGTCTAAGAGAGAGGGGCTGAGGGTGTCTCAGAGATTTCTGGCATGGACAACAGGGTGGCTGGCAACGCCAAGGGGTACAGGTTGAGGGTACGATAGGGAAAGTAGGTACTGCATGCATCTGTCCTGCAGCTGCTCAGTGTGGGCATCCTGTGAACAGACACATTGGGACAGACGGGCTGGAGGTCGGGTCGTGGTGGCTGCAGACACGGAGTGAAGGCCTCTTCCCGGGGAGAGGAGGCAGTACAAGACGAGGACTTAGGTTAAGAGGGTAGATCTCAAGTTGAGTATTCTTAACACAATAACATTGAAAAATTAATAAGTAGTAAAAAAAAAAGAAGGCCCAGGGCTATAAGCTCCAAAACACCTCCAGCACAGGTTTCGGGAGAGGCGGAAGAGCCAGCACGTGGTGCGGACAGCGATCGGTTTTGAAAACTGGGGGGCAAACAGGGAGATTGTTCTATCAGCTAAGTCGGGAGAGAGATTCAGGAGGGGGGCCGATTCAGTATCGAACCTGCTCAAATGTCCCTTGAGAAGAGGTCTTCAATGACGTCAGCAAAACAGAAGTCACTCGTGACATCAGCGAGGGTTTTGCAAAATAGTGAAGCTGAAGCCACGTCAGAGCGGGCTAAGGATAACGTCGTCGACACAGTGCCCGCTCTGCGCTGGGGGTTGTTCTATGTCCGTACACTGGGGGTTGCTCTAACTTCAGCATCGCCACTGAGGGCGGGAGCTCCGCGGCCGTCTGTGCAGGGAAGTCGGTATCCCTCGCTTCCTCCACGCTTGCTCTCCCCCCGAGGAAGAGACCGGCTTCAGAGAGGGCGGGAGCCGTGTGCGATGGGAAAGAGCTAGAATCACAGCCAGGCAGATAGCAGCCTCGCCCGCAGCCTCAGAGGTATAGATTCAGCTCAGGCAGACAGAGATTGGAAGGAAAGCTATTTATTTTATAACTAGCATGTGATAAGTGGAATGCTTTCTCCCACTCTGGCATGAGGTTCTGGAATTTCCAGTCACAACCCTGGTATGCTATCAAGAGATTTCACGGCCTGAACCTTCTGCTGGTCCATCAGCCCCGAGACAGTCTGCAACGGAGCAAAACCCAGTACCTTTTAGATAACAATTCCAATCCTTGGGTTTACATAATGTGATATGACAAGAGGGACACTGTTTAGGTCTTGGCATAGCTGTGAACGTCTAGGGCAGAACTCCAAAGAAAAAAGTCTATTTTGAAAGCTTTCTCAGAACATATCTGAGAGAATTCACTGGTTAATGCAAATATATGTCCAAACAAGTACTGGTTTGCTTAGGGAGTTCACAGAGCAGGCAAGCCTCACTTGGCATGGAGAGTGTGCAGGATCTCGGGGGTCTAGAATGAAGATGATGTGGTACTTCCCACGTGTCTCTCTGGAACGGGGACTGACTGTACCCACGGTGGAAGAAAAACCACCGGGAAGTAGGTAGTTCCTGAAACCTCTGGGGCTCTACAGGATTCAGATAATGTAATGGAATATAAATAAATTCACGGAAACACACCCAGAGTTCTCAGAGTAAAAAAATTCCCTTCCCATAGGTAAGCAAATATGAGTGTAAAATAATAAGAACATATTTTTGGAAGGTAGGGGAGAAGCATATGTGATGTAAACCAATGCTACGGGATGTTCCAGGCGTGCAGGGAACATTGCAGTGTCCTTGGAATAACTGTGTAGCGTCCCCACGTGGCTCTTCTGACAGGTAAGGGTCATCAGACTATCAAGCTTATGTTATATTCATAGCTAAGATGTAATTTCAAAGTCACACCTCATCCGTGAGCCCTGATCATTTGGACCTTTTTTTATCAGAGAAAGTTACTACTTAACGTTTTAGGTGGAAAAGAAAGTCGAGACAGGGACTAGGAACACAAACATCCCCCAGTTCCCACAAAGGGTCTTTGACCAGTGGATGAAGTGGCCGATGGAATGAACACTACCGCACGTTGGTTCTGAGGTCTGTGGTCTGGATGTCCCCTTAGATCTAGTCACAGGGTGTGACTTCCTGGAAGCGAATTCCCTTTCTGTTTGGATCTGGGGCATTCTGTGAACATTCATGCGAAGTCTGTGAAGTTCTGGACTGACCCTGATTTTATATTTCCTGGCTGGCTGGGGCAAAGTGCTCCAGCCGTGTGACGGGATTAAGTAGGTCTCGGGGAGACAGGGAGAATGTATTCAGTCCGTTCAGGCTTAACGGAGGGGATGGTGACCCAGAATTCAGGACAAGAGAGTCCTGGGAGATAGGGATGCCGGCGGGAGAGACCTCATCTGTGTATGCTAATATATCAAGGAAGACTGGGAATTATAAAGAGAAATAACAAATTTTCTATCTTAAGATAAACAATTTTGAAACATTAAAACATGGCAAGAACTGCAATTAATGTGCAATAAACTCATCAGGCAAAATCTCTTACAAATTTGGCATCTCCCGCTTGGGACTTATTTAGGCCCAATAGACAAATTAGAGGTTGCTTATGATTTATTTACCCCAACTTAAAAAACAAACAAACAAAACCATTGAACGCATGCCATATTAATAACTAATTCTGACTCATGTACATTTTCACTTGTTTCCTACGGAGTCACTTCTTTGAGAGGTCATTTCTCCTGTCCTTATTTGCATTCGCTGCAACTCCCCCATTCCCCAACAAAAGCAACAACAAAAAATCCCAAGCAAAAAAGCCCTTAAGCAATAAAAATGGTGTCCAAGAAAAACATTTAGTTTGAAAAAGAGTCGAAAAATGCAGCCTTGGAAGAACCACTGCTTACATGGGATTGTTCAACAAATTCCTGTTGTGTGAGGTTTGGCATATACTTTCTAAAAATATAAGCATCTGGGGAAATGAGACAAAGCCCAGGTCTTGGACCAAATGAGGCACGCAGTATGAATCTGTTAGTGATTATATCCATAATGAAATATGTGCCCAAATTTAGCAGTGCAAAATCTACTGCAGTACGAAAGCCCAGCAGGCGCTGCCTTACCATAATATATAGGCAACGGAGAAGACGCAGATGGCGGTGAGTCCGCTGCTCCTGCTGGGGTACGCATGGTGTGATGTCCTCATCTCGATCAATATGAAGGGCAACACAGTCGTGTGCTGAAAAAGAACACAGAGCAGGTGACACAGAGTCTCAGCATCGCCCCTCAGTCACGGTTCTGTCTCCAGTCAGAGAAGAAATAGTGTAAATCCCTAGCAAAAAGCAACACACCAGAGAGCAGGGTGTGGACACGAAAACACGGGTGGGACACGTCAATTGCTCCATTGGTATTTTGTTTCTGTATCTTAGTTTTTGAAATTTAATTTATATCTGTTACAAGAAATTTCTATAATATAGAAAGACATATAGAAGGAAAATTGGAACATAAAAAAGGAATAAAAATAACCAGTGTTAATATTTTAGTATATGTCTCTCCCCTCTTTCTTTTTTCTTTTTTTCTTTATTGATTTTATAGAGAAAGGAAGGGAGAGAGAGAGAGAGATAGAAACATCAATGAGAGAGTACATTGATTGGCCACTTCCTGCATGCCCCACCCTGGACATGTGCCCACAACCTGGGCATGTGCCCTGTCTGGGAATCGAACCAGTGACCGCTTGGTGCACGGGTCGACGATCAACCACTGAGCCACACTGGCCAGTCTCTCCTCTCGTTCATATTATTGGTATGTAGTTAAGATGATACTGTGCATGAATTTTGTTCTAAATTGTAGCATGTGAGTTTTGGATATGTTATTTTAAAAATCCTTCTAAGAATATCAACCCTGACCATAGCTACTTAAAATTTGACCTTATGAATACACCAAAATGTCTTTAAACAATTCCTGATTTTCAATTTTCCACTTATTAAAAATATCATAGTAAATATCTTTTGTAGAAGTCTTTGTCTGAATGTCTGAATGTTAAATTAGTTTCTTATCACCAAAGGCTATGAAGAATTTAAGGATGTTGATACATAATGCCAAATTATGTGTGTACCAGCAACAAGTTAGGAATAATGCCAAATTAGCTTCCAAAATAAGGTACCAGTTTGTACCAGTAGTGCATGGATTTAGATATGACGTTTGAAGACATTTGTTTTTTGGACCCAGTGGCTACTTTATATACTCAGTTCAGGGAACCAGGTTGGGGACAAAAGGGAGCTCTTCCATACGGTAGGAGAAAAAAAGTCAAGTGTTCTTGGTATTGAAATCTGATGGACAGATAAAAGGGACAAAGAGCTTCTTAGGTAAAACTGGGCCAGGGTATAGATTTACCTTCCAACACTGTAGAGTTTCCCAAAAGTAAGAAGATGACAGAACTAAGAACTGAACCATCAGCAAGTCTGAATTCTACTTAGCACCCCTTTACCGGTTATGAAAGAATTTTTGTTCTGCTTCTTGCTGTATTGTCTGCATATTCAAGGAAAAGGCACAAAATGGAATGTTATGGTTTTCAAACTGTAGTTTACTGTAGCAAAATGGGACCAGGTTGCAGGTAGGTCTCGTCAGGAAAAGACATGGTGTGGATACCAAGGTGAACATTCTGGGAGCAACTTATTATTTATATTCATAGAAAACATAGAACAACAGGACTTTGGAAGAAATAGTAAGACTGGAACTTCTTTGCCTTAAGCATTGTTCTCTAGATAACTGTTCTGACTGCCAATATATTGGTAATTAGAGTATGGTATTCCCAGAATGTCAGCTGGGTGATTCCACATTTGGGTAGCTTTATCTTTCTTAATCCTTTGTTTCTCTGTTATTGTTTTTAAAACAGTATAATTAGCTCTGAAGGGAACCATGCAAAATGTATGTGTGCGTTAAATCACAGACAGTATGTATTTTCTATTGTATCTATTGTATTGTTGCTGTTTTTTTCACTATAACACAGTCACCTCAGATAACTCTGGCCTGGAATTTCACCAACAATTTCAGCTGCTAACAATAGTTTTACAATAGCGCATTCATGTAAAACTCAAATATACGGCTAGCAATAAGGCCAAGTGTCATCAAATTGTACATAGAAGAAAAATTCATGCAAATAAAATGTTTACACGGAAGATAATGCTGACTCTGCTGGCCTGTGTGGATTATGAAATGACAATATTATTTTTGACTCATTATTACTAACTAGTGTCTAAACTCTACCTCTTCATCCATTGTTCCAAACTGAGTTAGAAAATCAACCATTTTTCTAGAAAGTTATATAAGTTCAAATAATGAATCTGAATACTCCTAGCTATCCAGGTAACCTTGTTTCACCTGGTTTAGTTGCTGATGATCAGATATTGTAACTGGAAGTGTTAGAATGTACTTTGGTGATGCCAGGCAGAAAAATCCCTTTGAAAAATTAAGATCTTTCTAGATTACTTCATCATTGGCATCATTACCACTAAAAAGGAGCTACTTGTTCCATCAGTGACATAACAAGTGACAAAGATCTTTTTGTGGCTAGCTGTGCCTGTGCCAGTTTAGCTCCTGGCAAATCTCAGGAGAAGTTTTTTCTGTATCAGGGTAACTTAACAGCTTATCATGCAGAATTTCCAGGCACTAGAGGATATATATATATATCTTCCTCTCTAAAAATTTATCATGCACATCATGTTTACCAATAAAGAGCATCTATTAACAGAAGTAAAAATAGTGCAAAATATTTATAGCAAATTAAGTGTTGCCTGCATGTAGCTAAAGTTTTATGCATTAGAAAAATTGCAAAAATCTAGAAATGGTCTGGCTGAATCTCTAAGTAACCTTTAGCAGCTCAGTTATAACTCGAAATCTGTAGTAGCAAGAGGGATAATTGTTTGAGAAGTACAGGTACAAGAAATCCAGTTCTTACCCACTGCCAGGCAATACTGTGCTTCCATGACTCAAGAACCATGAAGAAAACATTCAGCTCAATTCAAGACCATCAGCTGCCCAAGAATGGTAATCTTCCATTTTGTTCACTACAGTGTTGCTCTTAGACAAGAGCCTGGTACATCAGAGGTGATCAATAAATATTTGTGGAGATAATTTATTTAATCTTCAAAACAACATCTTAAGTGGGAATGATTAATTCTGTTCTTCAGACGAGGGAATAAAGACTTGGAAGAGAGAATTATCCTGCCCCAAACCATAGAGCTAGTAAGTGTGAAGGTAAGGTTCAAGACCAGTTCTGTCGGTCTCCAAACCCCATACTGTTTTTTACGTTAGAATTATATCTTTAAAAGATATGAGTCAGCCATGGCCGGTTTGGCTCGGTGGTTAGAGCGTTGGCCTGTGGTCTGGAGAGACCCGGGTTTGATTCCTGCTAAGGGCATGTACCTCGGTTGCAGTTTGTCCCTGGCCCTGGTTGGGTCGTGTGGGTGACAACCCCTCGATGTGTCCCTTTCACGTCGATGTTTCTCTCTCGCTCTCTCCCTCCCACTCTATCTGAACAAAATATCAAAAAATGTCCTCGGGTGAGGACATTAAAAGAAAAAAAAAAAAAGATATGAGTCAAATAATCTTTGAGGCAATAAACCCGTGGAGTGCATGATATAGATCACTTATGTTGCCTCTCCACAGCCCAGAACTGTATTTTGGTTGAACCTTAGCATAAACAAAAAGGTCTTCACTGTAAAAAATATATATTTTGCTAAATGTGTTTCTTCCTGTGGCGTATAAACATTCTGAATAATAATAAACGACAAAATCGCTGGCATGAAGTCAGAACTTACAGTGGCGCGTGCAGCGAAAGACAGCTGGGGAAGCTCCCCCGGCTCCGGGCCCAGAAGAGGCCAAGGTGCCACTTCCTGGGTCATCCTGCATCAGAATTCCTCTGGCACCAGCCGCCACCACGTCCTAAGTTCCACTCCATGAGATCAAAGTCGGACATCTCAAGTGCAAAAGTGGAAATCAGGCGCCAGGTCCACATGGCCCCGAAGATCGGACCGTTAGGTCTGTCTCCACAAAAGGTACCGGCTGACTCGAAGGGTCTGAGAATTACAGTGAAACTGATCACTTAGAACAGACAGGCCCAGATTGAGTGGCGCCTGCTGCTTCTGCCCTATCACCAAAGCCCCCAGGAAGAAGCCGGAAACAGAGAGACGCAAACACCCATCAAGCACAGTGGAAATGGCACTTTTGATGAGATTGTCAACATTGCTGGATAGAGGTAGCACCGCTCTGTACAGCCAGAGAGCTCTCCGGAACCACGGAAGAGAACCTGGGACTGCCAGGTTTGTTGGCTGCAATGTTGGTGGCCACCACCCTCATGATATCATAGGTGACACCCACAGGGGTGAGATGGTATGCCCAGCGACTTAAGAACTCCGGAGGAAAATATTTCAATAAAGGATCATTTGACAACTAAAAAAAGCAAACTCGGGAATGATCTGTTTCTATTTCTCAAACCTTTTAACTTAGTTTTCTCAGGCAGGTGTAGGTATACTGTAGAAAAACAGAGAAAGAGATAAAGACTGGCTGCCAAAGGGGGCTTTAGGAATTGTACTGGACTGTTTTCTGCGGTACATTGTCAACAGCACAATTACCCAGCAGCTGAGTTACTGAGGTTTGACTGTTTTTTAAGAGCCGGTGAGATGAAGGGCCGACAGCCACGGAGTAAATCCTTGATCTGCCCCGTAAACTGTGCGAGCAAGTACTGGTCTAGGATGTAAGCAGTCATCCGATCCCACGTTCAATCTTTCGTTGCCGCTCAATTTTAATGAGACTATATTTGGACGACTGTGTACAAAAAGGAAAGCCCAGATCTATCCTGGTCTTTTGCATCCTTTGCGTTTTTCTTCATAGGGTTTGCACAGGTTCCTCTATGGAGCAGCGGTTATCACCGTGAACTGATCAGCATCCCATGGCAAAGGGCTCCCTGCAGAGGGATCCACCAGGTGCTGTCGCCTCCACAGAGAGATGCTCAGACCTGAACAGAGGGCTGGATCTCAGAAAAGACCCAGGACTTAATTCTGATGGGAAGAAGATGGAATAAGAAAGATGATTTGAAAAAGAGGGTTCAAAGAAGAAAGCAGTGTAGTTAAGTAGAAGGGTCAGGAGACTGGTGTCTGGGATCCAGTTCCGATTGTGCCCCCCTTTAGGCAAGTTTTTGCACACCTGTGAAGCTCCGTATTGTTCATTATACAAGGTGCA